TGTAGCCAACAATTCATGATTTCAAAATTGGTTGGGCAAGTTAGGCACATCGATGCAGATAAAAAAAAAGTGCATTGAACAAATCTTACATTTTGCTAAATTACTTGTTATGTCATATTATTTTTACTTTTTTATATGTTTTTTTCGTAATAAGTAAAAAAGTCAATTTATAAATTATACCTAAAATAATCCTACTTAATAAATCTTATTTATTTTTAATTGAGTATTGAGCGAAAGTTTTGTTTTTGTGGAAAGTGAAAAGCAATGCTTTTAAGTTTCAATAATAATTTATTTATTGAACAAATAAAATAACATGTACATTTATCAATATTTATGAAGAATTTATAATTCTATGCAGTTGGGTCGAGGTTCTCCAATTAGTAACTGTACTCTTAAATCACCCAAACCACACCACGCACACCCTTACGTGCTATGTAGCCAACAATTCATGATTTCAAAATTGATTGGGCAAGTTAGGCACATCGATGCAGATAAAAAAAAAAAGGTGGATTGAACAAATCTTACATTTTGCTAAATTACTTGTTATGTCATATTATTTTTACTTCTCTATATGTTTTTTTGTAATAAGTAAAAAAGTCAATTTATAAATTATACCTAAAATAATCCTAATTAATAAATCTTATTTATTTTTAATTGAGTATTGAGCGAAAGTTTTGTTTTTGTGGAAAGTGAAAAGCAATGCTTTTAAGTTTCAATAATAATTTATTTATTGAACAAATAAAATAACATGTACATTTATCAATATTTATGAAGAATTTATAATTCTATGCAGTTGGGTCGAGGTTCTCCAATTAAAATTTGAATATTTGTTGCCCAAGCAAAATTGACTTTTTTAAAATTGCTAGATGGACATGTCCACCTATTATATCAAAAAGTGTCCATTTAAAATGAAAGAAAATGTTTGGTGGCTCTAAGACAAGAGCTCTAAAAGGAGCTCTATGATGAAAAATGCTTGCATTGCCGATCGTCCATTGGGACGTCGACCGATCGTCTGTCCGGACAACTATCCTGTGTGGCCTACCAACTCACTAGAGCTCTGTCTAGAGCTCTTGAATTAGAGCTCCGTATCATTATTGTAAAATCAATTTTGATGAATTGGACAAGTCACCTCTACGTTTCCCTAGCCCTAACAAAAAGAGTAAGGTTATAAAAAATAAAAGGTAAATTACAAATATATTTTTTGAGATTTGCTTGAAGTATAAATTGTCACTTGTGATTATTTAACAGAATTAATTAAAAAATTGAAATTCATAATTATTCTCCTATACAATAATAAAATTATCTAAATTATTAATTGAAATATATTTCTAATATCATTAAAAACTGTTAATTGACTTCATAATTTATTAATAAAAGGAGAATTTATTATGGAATTAAGAGCCTCACGAGGTGGAATGTAATTTTCAAAATTACAAGAGCTGATGATTATTTTAATCAAATTTCAAGAACGTGTTTGTAATTTATCCAAAAATAAAAGTTGCACAACATGATATAAGTGAATTTAGAGTTTTTTTAGTTTAAAAACAAAACACTCATCAAAATATTTTTTATTAACAAAAATGTCCTCACCACACAACTAATTTACTTGATTTCAATTAATGTCCATTTGTTAATTTTTTTTTTTGAGACACCTCGTTATGTAAATAAGTTAAAATTAAGATATATTTTTAAATTTTTTAAGTTTACCCTCTTGTGTAGGGGTGTTTGAAAATATAGTTAAAAGTTATTTTTTTATTTTATTTTTATTTTTTTATAAGAGAAGAAAATGAATTAAAAATTAGAAAGTGATTTTTAATCAACTTGTCAAAAATAAGCCGTATTTTATTATTGGTCCGCCATTATCCATGTTTGAAAAAGTCCATCTTAATAATGTTCAAAGGTAACAAAAATAAGAATAAAACAAATTCCATGTTTTGGTTTTTGTTCCAAGAAAACTTGCTTTATTTTTTGGAAAAACTTTAAATAAGACTACACCAAATTTTTTTCCAAGCTCACTATAAATTATTATATAAAAGACAATGAAAATGATAATTATTAATTCGAAAGAAGACAATCTCAATAGCTACATGATTTAACATTAATTACACTCTCTTGTATATCACAAACACTCCTAAAAAAAAAGAATTGTAGTGAAAAAAATAATTATAAATTTAAACATAACTTTCACTTAGGCCAAGTTCAACATTAATAATTGTTTTGTCTAATAAATATACATTATGTTGTGAAATATTTAGATAATCATCAAAAAAAGATGTAATTGAAATTCTAATGAGTTTTGGGCCAAAGTAAAAATATAGATGAAAGTTTTTTCATGTGAAAAGTGTGGTATGCCATGTGGTAAATCACATGGTATGATGAATAGCAGTGTATAGTGAACGTTTTATCATCTATAAATAGAGGAGTTTGCATAATAATGAAGATATTGAAAAATTATATACATATATAATATTTTATTTCCTCTTTTATTGTGACTTTTCATTCTTTATTTTTTTTGATTTTATAATACAGTCCGTATTTTACCTAATCACTTTGCGTGTTGTACATTCCAACAATATTTTTTGCCCTTAAAATTGATTTACCTAATTTTTAAGGCTTTTTAAATGCAGATAGTCAATAAAAAATGAGACAAAATGACTGCTGTATTAGTTGTCCTATTGGAGCTCTATTGTGTGTATCCTAACAATAATTTTCTTGACAACACGCAAGGCCATCACATGTTATGATGGACCAATATAATAAAACTACACGAAAGGGTGAACCCACTATTTGTGTATAACCCCATGTTTTCACAATAATGATCTAAGCAACTGCGTGGTGTTTTGAAAAGTTGATAAAAATTTAATTTTTAATTATTTTAATAAAAATAATTAATTTTTTGAGTGTTGACTTAGGTAAAAAAATTAATTTTTTTAACTAAAAAAAAAGTTAAAAGCTAACTTTTTGTTAGCTTGTCAAAGCAAGCCCACGTACACTAGGGAGGTTTACTGTGCTTACATGTTGGGGATTCTATTTACACCTAAAAGATATTGCGTACTTCCAATTTTTAAATACACTTTATTTAATTATTGAAAAAATTTATTTTACTCTCGTTACATTCTATTATTTTTCTCAAATTAACTTCAAGGTAAACTCAAATAATAAATAATAAAAAAATTAAAAAAACTAAGGTTGCGTTTGATTGTGTTTTGTAAATGTGATTTAAGAGTATGAGTTGTATTTTGAGTTTGTGTGTTGTAAAATTATGATTTGAGTGTAGAAAATTTGTTTGATAAAGAGTTTTGAAAATAATTTGGAAAAGAGGTTTGATTTGAGTGGGGAATTGTTGATGTGATATTTGATATGTGATATAAAAATTTACAACTCCTAACTAAACATACAATTCAAAATTATTTTAAAACACATTAAAAATTAAAAAAAATTTCAGAAAATATTTTTCCTAATTATATAAATCAATTGCGAAAAAAAAAAAAAAAATCTGTACAACAGAGGACATCCGGGTGGATGTCCCCAAGGACGTCCGGGCGGTAGTCCCTAGGGACGACTGGGCGGTCTTCCCCTGACCAAAAAAAATACAAGAAATGCGCAGAATGGACAGAGCTTTCGGTAGAGTTTTGGAAAATTAAATATAGAAAAAAATTAAACTTTTACATAAGCATTATAAATTTTTCAATACAGAAATAAAATTTACATTACAAATTATGCACAAAAATGCTCGTGGAAAAGTAAAAACTAAACTTATAAGCATATCAGTATCAGGCACTAACAAGAAAGAGTAGTTCTCAAATAATGTACTATTTAAATGATAAAATAAAAACAACACCAATAATATGTTTATGTTATTGTTAATCTAACTATTGGACCCTTTAATTTTTGTCCAAAAAAACGATATAGAAAATAATTAATGGTGCTCTACAAAAATTGTGAAATCTCTTTATATGAATACTTACCTCCTTTTTTATGGGTTGTTTCAAAAAATTATTTTGATTATTACTGTCATCCATTATTTGATTTTGTTTAAACTTTTTTCTAGGGTATAAGGTTTCAAAATAATAAAAAAACAATGATGTTGATGATGATGGTGAGTTTTGGTAAGGTAGATTGGAGTTTTGGAGGGAGGATGAAAAAGAAGAAGAAATAACTTTGATGTTTTGGGAAATAAGATACATAGATTTAAATAGAAATAACTGATTATTGTATACCATGAAGAAAAAAAAATATTTTAAGGTTTAATATGAGTTATCCTTATTAGTAAATTCATATTAAGATATTATAAGAATTAAAATTTATAAATTTAAATTGAACGTACTGAGACATATTTTGGATTGAAATAGAATCTCCCTTACATGTTGTATTGAAATTTTTTCTCGACAGTGGAATGTTGGGTTTCTTGTCTTGGTCTGGGCCTGTAATGTTGGGTTGGGCTACACCAAACATTCTTTTAATTCTTTATAGTGGGCTTGATCTGCTCCTCAAGAAAAGTCCATTGTAGTTTAAAATTTTCCCATTTTAATACTGTAACACCCTTAACATATGATAGATATAGTGATGCGTGTTCATCCAATGAATGTTCTGTTAAATTATATAAAATACAAATCTTGGTTTCAATTGAATATGAATTTGATGAGTTTTTCGAGGTGGGTCAGGAGTCAGTTATACAAGAGAATTTTGGATAATTTAAAAATATATAAAAATTCATTTAGCAAAAAGTGTCATGCTATTAATAGAAGCGTTCTCTTTATATATAATATAGATAAATAATAAAATCATAAAGTGTGTATGCTGTTAAATAAGTTGCCTACAATAACCAAATGCTATTGGCACAGTTACTGATGAAGATGAGATCACAAGCTAATATAAAATAGATCAGAAAAATACGGATATGCAACACGATACAGACAGATACAAAACATATAATCAAAACCACAAAGAAAGGTTTGATTTCAGAAAATCACTCCATTTTTTTAGAAAGAGAGACAGAGAGAGAGAGAGAGAGAAGCACACTAGCAAAAACATAAAGGCTTTTGTACTCCATTACAGGATCTATCTATTATGATCTTCATAGTCACAGTTTTTCACAATCCCATTCACACAACTATTAACTGTACTTAACATTCATTTTAAAACTAGACATTCACCCCTAATGTCCAAAGCTCTCCCAAAAAAACAAAACAAGAACTAGTCTAGTTTTTTTTTTAACTCAACCCACCTACTATTACATCAAAGAGGCCATACCTCAAAGATATTTGCTAAGGGAATCAAGACCTTCACTACAAAAACTTGAAGGCACGACCATGATCTCCAAACACCCCATCCATTCCTCGCCTGGCTTCAAAGTGATCGGTTTCTCAATCGCTGCGCCATCGACGCAAATCATCTGTTTGTACTCTTCGTCCCCGATATCTAACATCGCCTTTGATTTCTTCTCCCACGGATTCCATACCACTTTTTAAACAACAAAAATAAACCAAAAAAACAAAAATGGTGGGAAATGTACTCCAAAGTGCAAAATGTGTTTTTCTTTGTTTCTTAAAATATCAGAAATCTTAATTATTATTATTTTTTCTCTCATGAAAACATACATTATGAAAATGGAGTCTTACCGACATCTGGTAGCCCTTCCTTCCTTATTACATATGTTCTTTTCCTTTCATGATCAAGGACTGCAATGACATTCGGAGAACTAAGATAAACTCGATCAACCTGCAAAACAAGAATCAAAAAAATTAAATAAAAATAAAAATACAAAAAGCACTCAATCTCGTTTTGTTTTCTTTCTTCAAAGCAACACAAGCTGAATTCATTAACTTATCATGAATCCAGCACCTTCCTTAAATAATGAAGAAATACAACCAAACCACTTCATTTTAATATCATGTTGTAGCAAATTTTGTCACAAATAATAAAAAGAAGCTTTTACCTCTGATTCAAAAGTTATGGCGTCTCCTTGTTCTGTAAACCGTTCTCTTTGCCAAAGGTTGTCGAGATAGTCAAGCGTTTCCAACCCTTCTATCCTCACTTCACTGCACATACAATTCATGTTCATGTAACTTCAACACTATTTTCCTTGAATTGAACCAACCATATTGTTCAAGAAAAAACTTAAAAAACCGCTAAAGGGTTGGTGGAACATAATATGTGTTAGTTAGTATACGGCGATTATAGAGTGACCTCTTACAAAAATGGAGTTAGCCATACAGCTATGAACACCACGTACCTTATGTCGGAGACAGACAAATATGTGTGATAAGCAAATGAGAAACTAAATGGCTTGCCATTGATGTTTCTAATGCGGGATGTCAATGTTAATTTCCCATCTGCCGCTAGAGAAACCCTAAGACGCAACTCAAAACTGGCAAAATAAGAAATTTAATCAGTGACAGATAAACACCATGAACACGTATGCCTAGACATTACAAAATAAGATTTTTTTTTTTTTTTTTGGCAAACTCTATCAAACATGTAGATCATCATTTTGATGGGAAAATGTATATATAAAACCAATACAGTGCAATGGGCAGGAATCGATTGGGATCAATCAAATCGTCATCAAGCATTGTAATCTTGATTCTACAAACTAATTTCTTATACCTATGTGGCCAGCACTTCAGATCTTCTTCAGATGGTTTGAGCAGCAAGTCAACAAAGGATTTGCCATGAGAATCACTTGGGGCTAAAGGCGGAGGATTCTCATCAATGGTCCAAATTTTGTTCCTCGCCAATCCATGTTGCTCAAGTGAGCCACAGTTTCCAAACTGCACTAGCCCATCGATAAAAATACTCAAACCAAACCAAGAAAATAAAACATAAAAGTAGTCGATACTAGTATTTAGTCAGAATCACGGAGGAATAATTGAAAAGACGGACCTGTGGGAAACATATAGGGATTCCTCCCCGCATTGCTTTTGGAGGCTTAAAGATCGCCTACAATGCATCCCAAAAAAAGAAAAAAGTCAACCAAACTCTTTTCTATAGCATAATAGCACGCAAAACCAGTCAACAAGTTCAAGTAAATCATTACATGCCAGATAGTCAACTGATGGGCAACCTCTCAAATTAACTCATCATGATAATCTAATTTTGGTCAATTTGTATTGTTTCATGACATTCTAAGTTGAAGCACTCCAATTACTACAAAGTAGAAGCTCCATATAGAAGAGTCTTCTCCAAAGTTCAAAGTTAACCATCTTCTCCAAGTTAAAATCTCTCCATGCTTGATTTCTTTGCTACTCCATCAATTTGCTTATTGCAAAGTCCTCTTAAAAAAATTTCTGCGTCAATGATTCTTCAGAGTTGAAACACTCCTGGACTTTACCTCAATTGGTAACCCCATGTAACAAGTTCTATGCATTTTAGATGGCAAAGTATGGCCACTATTGAGAGTTATTTATGATCCAGTGAAGGAGATGAAAAAGGCCACACAACACAAGTGATAAACTCCCCAACCAGCATAAGGTAAACTCAATGACACCAGCAATGGTGGAGCGAGGATGTTGGTCTGGAGGAGTGTGTAAGACCCAACTGTGTTGCAACATTTTGTGATTTTTTTTTTATTTTTTATTAATGAAATATAGCATGTTCATCATTACAACTTTGGTTCTGATATAGCATGTTGCAACTTTTCTCTAAGAAATGATAACACCATCGATTTCAAATCACCCACAAACTCCACTTAATGATAACAATTAAGTTGGTTCTGATATCTATATGTAGATTCTATCTGTATGTATCTTGATATTAAGATGGTTGCATTGAGATTCATACATTAAGCCATATTCTTCATAAATGCAACTGCACACCATTTTCGCACCCCACGGGCAACTTACGTTTTTATGTATGCATTTTACTTGCAATGTTTTGACTCTAAATTGTGCATCACTAATAACACTTTCCAAACTTCATCAACAATTTCCATATTTTACCATCAACAACTGTCTTTGTTTTTGGTAGGTTATTTCAATAACCTTTTTTGTTCTAACTCCAAATTCGAAATTATCCATCAATTATAGATTTGGAGCCACCAATCCCATCATTGACATTGAAAGTACGACCTTTATCTTAATCATTGGTGGATGTTGAACTCAATTTACACAAACAGCACACAAGAACAACAATGAAACAATTAGAAAACTATACCTTGCTACTAGTGAATAGAAGTTCTTCACCTCGATCATTCCTCCACGAAGTGACCTGACCTCCGTGCAAGCTAACCTAGATCATCAATCAAGAAATATTCAATAAACGATTCAAAAAGCAATTAATGTACCAAGCTGCACAGATTAAACAATAGAATCATCATCTATTCGGCACGAGTTTTTCTATAATCTACCAAAATTCTTAATTCATCATTTGATGAAAGAGATCTCACCTTCACTGAAGCCCCTAGTGGGCTCCGAAGCACTACTTGATCAATCCCATTCCAGTCCTTTGTCAATTCAATTGCAGCCTTATGATCCCAAATTGGATCAGAATGTCCCATTTCTAGTCTACTTTCTCTTCACCCAAACAGACTCCCAAAGAACTTCCAAGTCTAACTGTCAATTTCTCAAACACAAAGAACACCAACACCAATTTGAACCACTCCTATCACAATTCTTGTGAAAAACTTGTGATATTGTGAATCAAACTCAGAAACCCATCTAGCAATTCAATTTTTTCCCCAATCTTCTCCCACCTCAGTAGTCTCCAGACCCAGAAAACCCTCAACCCGGAACCTTCCCAAATACATTAATACCTAAGAGAAATTACCATTCAGTGAAACTATCAAAAAAAATCCAAAATGCAGACATTTGGCAAATGCAGAGAAATGCTAAAATTCCCACCTGGAATCCACTAAGAAATGCCAAGAAATTTTTTTCATTTTTCACGACAGAAAAAGACAATCAAATGTAGTAACAGACAGAGAAACAAACTTGTGAAAAGAAAAACTTTAATCGCACTCCTTACTTTCCTTTCATGAAAATTATACTAATTTTTTTTTTTACTTTCTTTTTTTGTATCAAAAGAAGACAACCCAGTTGCCCATTTTGACTCCAAATCTCAAAACTCAAAAAAATAAATAAATAAATAAACAAATTAAAGAAAAAACTCTGTTTCAAAGTCTAAATTCCTCAAACCCTGACAAAACCCATTCAAAGACATCAAAAAACAGAGCAAATAGGGTCTTCAAATTTAAAAAATTTGGAACAATTAAACAGTTCTGAGAACAGAGCCATAAACTCTAGTTTAAAAATAAAAATAAAGAAGATAACCCAGTTCCCCAGTTTGAATCCAAACCTCAAAACTCAAAAAGAAAACCTTTCAAAAAAAACAAACTCTATCTCAAAGTCTAAATTTCTCAAACTCTGACAGAACCCATTTGAAGACATCAAAAAACAGAGCAACCAGAGCCTTCAAATCTCAAATTTTGGAAGAATTAACAGTTCTGAGAGCAGACAATGCTGAGTCAACAAAACTACATGGAATTTGAAATAAACAAATAAACAAATAAACAAAGAGAGAGAGAGAGAGAGAGAGAGAGAGAAATACAGAAATCAGGTCTGAATTCGCTGCATGTCCGTGAATTTGAAGCAAAAGTGTATGCTTAAGAAATTAATAATCAATAATACCAATTAATTAAAGGAGGTTGAGATTTGAGAGCAGAGACAAGAGCGAGAAAGTATACGAGGGAAAAAAAAATACTAAAAAAATTGATTTTTGTGTTTGTCAGTTGGGAAAACAAGGACGTGGAGATGCGTGAAGTTCATGTAAGTTGTACAAACGGTCAAATTTTGAAAAGCTCGATTATGTCATTTTTAAATCCAAAAAAGTTGGTAAAATGAAAAAAATAGGAAGGGACTATTCTCTCTTTATTTTGTTCTAAATATATATATATATTATTATTATGTATAATTATATTAATATATTTTCATATAAAATATATTTTTTTAAAAAATCAAAATTTTAAAGGTACAATCTAACTATATATAATAAGGGTAAATAAAAAAAAAAAATTACACTAACGTTCCTTAAGATTTATGTTTATTACAATTTTTTTCTCATCTTTTGAAAATTACATCTTTCCCCTGAGGTTTAAAATTTCATTACAGATTTCTCTTTCAGCAATTTAATTTTTTTAAATATCAATTTTGCTCTCATTGGGTAAATTACATTGACACCCCTCACATTTAAAAAATTACAATCCCCTTCCTAAGGTTTAAAGTAGCATTATCAATTATCACTTCGGTTAGTATTAGTTGGAAAAAAAATTAATTGGAAAAAAAATTAATTCAAAAAAAATTTTGTTAGTAAAGTTTTAAAATTTCTGTTTAAAAACCAACGTAAGCTCATTTTTTGAATTTACGTTTTTTCCTTAAATTTACAAACTGAGACAACCATTTATAAACCAAAAAAATTATCAAACAAGCTTTTGTAGCAGTTTTTAAAATTTTTGTAAATATAAATTGAAAACTGAAAACGAAATGGTTACCAAACAGATTTGATAGTAAAAATATCGTAAAACGAAATGGTTACCAAATAATTAAATAAGTTACCAACGTAAGAAATGACTTATTAAAAGATTCTTAGGCTATGTATGGTTTGATTTTTAGAATTTTTTTTAAAAATTAAAAATTAAATTGGTTAAGAAATAAAAAATAATTTTTTTTAAATTGAATTGAAATTGAAATTGAAACAGCCATACGTATGTATATAACCTATCCAAAAGTTAAAATGATAATTATTTTTTACCCTTAAATGATAATTATTTTTTGTTTTTTATTTCTTAACCAAATTAATTTTTAATTTAAAAAAAAATATAAAAATCAAACCATACATAGCCGAAGAATCTTTTGATAAGTCATTTCTTACGTTGGTAACTTATTTAATTATTTGTTAATTTTATGACATTTTTACCATCAAACCTGTTTGGTAACCATTTCGTTTTCAATTTTCAATTTATATTTACAAAAATTTTAAAAATTGTCATAAAAAATTTGATAATTTTTTTGGTTTATAAATGGTTGTCTCAGTTTGTAAATTTGAGAAAAAAACGTAAATTCAAAAAAGGAGTTTACGTTGGTTTTTAAACAAAAATTTAAAAACTTTACTAACAAAAATTTTTTCAAATAATTTTTTTTCAAAGAATTTTTTTTCCAACTAATACTAACCAAGGGGGTAATTGGTAATGCTACTTTAAACCTTAGGGAGGAGAATGTAATTTTTAAAATGTGAGGGGTGTCAATGTAATTTACCCAATAAGGGCAAAATTGGTATTTAAAAAAATTAAATTGCTAAAGGGAGGGAATTTATAATGAAACTTTAAACCTCAAGGGGAAGATGTAATTTTCAAAAGGTGAGAGGAGAACTGCAATAAACATAAACCTCAGGGGGTGTCAGTGTAATTTACCCATAAAAAATATATTTAGAATACAGTAGAGTGAGAATAACAAATTTTAAAAATTACGATTATTAAATTAATTTTAAATTTTTATATAAATAACATATATAGAAAATTTTATAAAATAAATAATTTAAATTAACAAAAAAAAATTTATAGGAAAAGTCAATGTGAGTCCCTTAACTTTTGTAAACCTTATTAAGCTTTTAAATTTTGAGTTATTTTAATAAAACCATTAGTTCTTCGTATATTTGCAAATTTAACCCTAAAACAAAAAACGCATCACGAATGAACCCACACAAGCCCTAATCGGCTCCAATAGCTTAGTAATCATTTTTGCACCCTAATATTAATTATTTAACTATGAAGCCATTGACCTTTGTAATTTTATTTTGACCCTTACTTTTGAACTATTTCATTAAAGACCCCCGATTCCTTATTTGTTTTCAATCTTAGCTATAGAGTCGAAAACGCTCGCCAACTGAAAACTCACAAATCTTGATTGAATCTAAGAACTCAAGACCCATTTCTAAAATCCTAATAATAATTAAATTAATTTTCTAAATATATTTTCACATAGAAACCTAGATTTTCGGTTCTCAGTACAATTCTCCGTTTAATTCAAGACAAAGAAATTTTAACCAAATTAAATTCCCAAATTCTAAATAAATACTACACTTAGTTAAATATTCAAATTCATAATCAAAGACTTTGGCCCTCATGTTTTTCTTGAATCACATTTTGATACCAAACTGGTACCTTTATATACATATATGTACCCTTAATCATATTCAATTCTTTTTGTACACAAAATGTATAATAAATATATTCATTTGTACACAAAATATAAATGAAAATCCCCTCAAATCCTCCCCATGTGGCCGGCCTCCCTAGAAGCTACATATATGTAATGTACTAAGTGTGACAAATTGCTAAAGTCATGGAACATGTCTTTGACTTTAGTACCAATTTATATATATAAGATTTGTACTTGTAACTAGATTAAATTAAATTAGACCTAAGTCTAACTAGATCATATTTAAGTATATAATTAAGGTCCTAATCACCCCTCATTCCAGTACATTGAAGCTAAATTAAAGAACTATTCAATTGAATTGGAACCAAGGGCAAAATAGGCTTTTTATCATTTTTTTTTCTCTATAAATATACCACTCATCTCCACTTTTTTAACAGACATACACACTCACACACTCAACCCGCGGTGGAGAGAAGAAAAAGAAAGAGGGAGAGAGCTTGGTATAAGATGAGAGGAATAATTGTGCAATCAACCTATCTAAGCACAAAGTAAGCCACATCACAATCTCTCCTTCTATTTCCTTTTGTCAAATACATGTTATCAGGGGTTTAAAATCATATTTTCAAATGTGTTATAATGGTATTCATGTATTCAAAATTGATGAATTGGGCTTCGATCCTTCTTCTTCTCATATTTCCTCTTAACAAATGCAAAACTACTTTTTTCTTCCCATATCTCATATTATTTCCAAAGGCATACCATCACCTTAAAAATATGAGTTATTGATACATTATTTAGTATGTTTTCATCACAAAAGAAGTGAAAATTTTCTCTTAGTTGGCCTCTTTTCTCATCAATATTATTTTGAGCGTTATGCATGAAAAACCAGTTTTACAGCCATCTTTCAAAAATTCTAGAAAAATGTATAAAAATCTCATGGACCACAGTTTTATGTCAAAAACTTCCTTAAAGAGTTATCCTTCAAGAAAAATTGGTTTCATTGAAAAAGAGTGAGCGATTTGTAAGAAAATCTGATTTCCGTAACCGTCGATGAATCTAGATAGAGCTGGAGTATTTCTTAAATAACTAAAATCTAGAAAATCTATTCTATTTATGAAAAATGTTTTGAAAACTAGATAAAATTATTTATGACCCATGGGAAGGCCAGGCTCGGGAAAAATCTGAAATGGTCCTTTTGATTTTAATCTTTAAGTGGTATTGAATCTGGAAATTTAGTTTTGCATTGGTGTTTTATGCTCTTGTCTTTATGAATATGCTTATTAATATATTATCATGTCTTGGTATGATATTATATATGTCATGGTTAAATACCTTTTATTTTAGTCTTTCGAGGATGCTCATACTTTCGCAAATTTATTCTTTGTTATTTGCTTATGCTAACTAACTTAAAACATTAATGTAAACAGAAAAACTTAATGGGTGTGGCTAACGGGGTTTCGATCACATGAGTATTGTTATGAGATAAATTCATGTTCAAATTGAATTGGTTAGCAGGTCGTGTTCCCTTTTGAAAGTTAAAGTCTTGTGCAAGTGGTTATTTCAGAACCCTTGAACGGTGCGCTTGTATTCAATCCAAGTTGGTTTGGTGTGAGGAGGGAATGGGCAAGGCCCTATTTTACCGTTTCTTTTGAGGCCCGACGATTGGTGCTACACGGTATATAACCGTTGGTAGGCATCCGAGGTAAAGTCTGCAGCAAAGTAGCAAAAGATAGGGCATACTGAATAATCCACATCCGATTCTTGTGGTTAGAAGGATGAAATTTCTTTGGGGGATTTCTAGACTACTAACAACTAACCTTGTAACCTTTGTAATTTACTTGAATGTCATGTTCCTTTCCCCTATTGTTGTAATTGCTTGTGTATTAGATTGAGAAAATGGACGGGGTATGTTTGCGTTTACTAGGCATTCAAAGCTCACGGCGTTTCATGCCAGGTGCTGTAGAGGATCTTGCAGCAGAAAGTGACGAGCTGAAAACTTTCGAAGACTTTTGGTTGTCCTAGAGAAGATAATTTTTTTTTTGGTTGTTTTGTAAAGTCCATCTGAAATTTTGTTTTTTGTTGTAATATTGATAGAACTAACCTTTGTAACTAAGGATATTTTGTATCTATTCTCTTATTATTATATGATTGTCTTTTTTTTTTATAAAAAAAAAAAACCAATATATTTCCCTACGTTGCTTATGAGACCTTGCATCAATGCCTTTTAAGATCTATCAAAATGGTTGACATATTGTTTTATTCTTTAATTTTTAAAAAAAATTAATATTTTGAGATAATAAAAAAATAAAATTAAAAATTAATATTTTGAGACTGAAGGAATAATAATTTTATAAATAATTAGTATTTAAAATATAATTTAGAAATGATATAATTATAGTTTCTTCCGTAAGAATATTATAATAATAAAAAGTGAGTGCTTTCCCTTGTCATTCCTTGTGTCATTTCCATGTGTCCGTAGAATTATTTTATGTCATTCCTTAACTCATTTCCTTGTGTCCTTAGAATTGCTTTATGGGTTTATTATAGCAAAAATGTTTGGACTCTGTTGAGAAAACCTTCACACTTTTAACGTGATTTTAACCCCTATATATTTGTAGGGTTTACTCAGGTATATATGAAATCTGTATCATGAGTAATTTAGATTTGTGAAAGTTTTGTGGCGGTAGAAGTCTCAGTCATTACTCTTATTATAGTTTATATCCTTTTTCCCAATTAAATTTTTTTTCAAATAATTACTTTTTCAATATTTTAGGCCTGAACAAACATATTTTTTATTTTATGTTTTTAAAATTTTTTAAACATGTTGTTCAAACCAAACGCGTTTGTAATTTATGTTTTTCTAAAAATAAATAAAAACCAGTTTATAAAATTTTCATAAATATAAACAAAAAACGTAAACGTTACCAAACGCTACCTTAGTGTTTAGGGATAAATTTTATTCTTTTAATTTTAGGGTTTAGGGTTTAATTCTTAAAATTTATTTATTTTTATTTTAATAAAATAAAAAAATTAATTTTATCCAATAATCATAACAAAACCTTTTAATTTTATTACGTTTAAAAAAATATATATTTTCAAAATGCGGACGTAATACATTTTTTCTTAATTATCACATGTAGGAAAAAAATTATATGACTTATTATATATAGTAAATATGATTTTTGATATGAACGTCTTTATTCCTATATCATCCTTCTTTTGTATCTATTCCTTCTTTTATATCTGATTTTAATTCATAACTGCAATTTTCAAACACGTATATACATATATATATATATATATATGAGAGGGAGATTTGCGCCGAATAAGAGGGCCAAGTTACGGTAGTGCGGGATATGGTATTAGGCCTTGCGAGGGCCAGACCTTGTGTCTGACCGAACTGAACCGACGCGGCTTCCCGGTCTATTACGTTGGACCGAGCAGACCGTCAACCAGAATGTGGAGGCATGTAGGTGCTCAACCGAGCTATGGTTCTGCCTAATATTCAGTTAGATCCGCACTGATGCGTTGGGCCGAGCCACGGACAGACCGGACTGAATTTAGGCCGAGATGTCCTACGAGGTAGCAAGGCAAGGCCAAGATGTCAAGCCACGCGCCCTATGACCAGTCAATTCAGATGGACCGATTTATTATAGTTCGGCTATCCCAGTCATTGTAATGTTTGTTTTTTCCAAGTGATAGCCCGGTTGCGTAAGCCACCTGGACCAATGGTAAAGGAGGGAAAATCCACCATTGGTATGCGTCAATACCGTTTGGCGGTTCGACAAACACTGTTTGGAGGTTTTGGTCCCTGTACGTGTAAGAAAGGTAACAGTCGCTTGTCTAAAGAAAGACAACAGAGGTAGTGCGTCCACAATCTCTGAGGTTGCATGGTCAGTCTAGAAAATGAGGAATGGAGGGCATTAGAGGTAAGTAATCTGAAGGAATTCCCAACTCACTCTCTTTAGAGCGCTCTCTATTCTTCTTCTTCTTCTCCTTCTCCAAGTGTGCTAACTTGATCGTCGAACGGTTTATTTGGCAGCACATCGCCAAGCAGCTCACCATCTTTTGGTTTTCAAGTTAAACGACGTTACGTGAGGCTTAGGCTCAAGTAGTACGGAGAACAGAGAATATTTCACCCCCGTACAATTGGCACCGTCTGTAGGAAAACTTTGACAGACAAACCTTGTCCTCTAAGCTTTTTCAACTGTATCCATGGCAAACAACGATGAGATGCCGTTGTTCGTTGTCGACGGTATCACACCAGAGTCTGTCCGACGGAGGGATGGCCCTCTTGCTATTCCAACCATGGCGGGCCTGGAAACCTCTTCCAGAAGTGTAAGAGACAAACGCGCAAGGAGCACTGAACACTCTAAGAGTCCAGAGGGTCACCGACGACGGGAAGAGTCACATGCTCAACGCTTGGAGCACAAACTTAGAGACTAGGACGCCCTCATTCGAAAGATGGCGGCCGAAATGGAGATGCTGAAACGCCAGATCAAGGGGAAGGGTGTTGCTGGAGTGAGCAACCATAATAAGCGCACTCCACCCCGGCGCTCTGACAGTCGTTGCCAAGATGGGACGTCTACTCTCTCTATCACAAGAAGTTATGGAGTTAGAGACTCCGACCCACCAGTGGAGAGATCTTACACTCGCAACAGCAGTTACCGTCCCTCACGTCCGTCCACGACGTCGAGTTACTCTTACTTCACCCGTTCAGGGGACCTAAGGGATGTGTTGCAGGAGCGAGCAAGCCGTATAGAGACCCGAAGATTGCCGGCGTTGCAAGGGATGAGTCCCCAAATCCGTTGCAATGAGGAAGTAGAGATTCCAGCGCCTAGAATGATGGCCCCAGCACCAATGGACAGAGAGCTAGCAAGACTTACCGCTACCCCACTGTCCCTAGAGATCGAGAGCACGCCGCTCCCTGCCGGATTCCACCAACCTAAGTTCACGCTATACGACGGCAAGACGGATCCATACATGCATGTGAGTCATTACCAGCAAGTAATAGCTAGCCACCGACGTAATGACGCCTTGATGTGTCTCATATTCCTAGCAAGTTTGGGAAAACTAGGCCTAAAATGGTTCGAAAGACATCCGGAAGAGAACATTGAGGGGTGGCAACAACTAACAGAGGCCTTCGTCACCAGATTCAAAACCAACACTCAAACACCGAAGGAGGTTGACCATCTCCTGAGCATCAAGATGGAATCTGAAGGTTCTTTGAAGGCATACAATGCCAAGTATTGAGAAACCTATAATGAGATGATCGCCCCACCAATCTAGCGGTCGCCCAATACAAGCGAGGTCTCCCAGTGGGACATAGGCTGCGAGACTCACTCACGATGCACCAGCCCATAACCATGGAATCCTTAATGCAGCGAATCAATGAACATATCCGAGTAGAGGATGATGTCGCCACCGCCACCGTAACCGAGAAAGCAAATTCGATTATAGCGAACAGAAGAATGGCTGGAAAGGTTCACTCGGTGGGGTAGGAGGACAACCGCCCTAATGACCGAGCTAGAGACCAACATCACGGTTCAAATCGCAATGATAGAAACAAAGTCACAGAAACGACCGAGCTAACGCTCCTCGTAGTGAAGAGGACGACGCTAAGAGGAAGTTGAAGGCACAAATCGGCATCACCATTGTCTTTAAGATCCCAATTTACCGTATCCTAAGTGAAATCCAAGGTGAACCTTACGTCCGTTGGCTGGCCAAATTGGGAGACACACAGAGGGGCTTCAACTCAAGGTATCACTGCACCTTCCATGAAGAAAGAGGGCACCGAATGGAGGATTGTTTGCCGCTCAAACAACATTTGGAAGAACTGGTGGCAGCTAGGCATCTAGACCAGTACATAGATGGGGATATGAGAGCCGCTCCCCAAGGACAGGCCAAGCCAAATGGCCTTGTTGTCTTGGATGCAGTGCCCCAAGGCGTAATCAATGTCATTCACGGCATCATCGAACCAGCGCGGGTTTGCGAGCTAAGGGGGATGATCAAAAAAGCTGAGCACATGAGGGAAGTGCTCTCCGTTCAGCCCACCATGAAAAAAGAAAAGACCGAGGTAAAAGACGTCCTGACTTTTTCAAGAAAGGACTTGGAGAGAATTCAAATGCCTCATAATGATGCCTTAGTGGTGACCCTTCACGTCAAAGACTTCGACATCAAAAGAATTCTAATTGACCAGGGGAGTTCGGTCGAGATCATGTATTATGACGCGTTCAAACAGATGAAGTTGGAGGACAAAGACTTGGCTCATGTAACGTCTCTTCTGGTGGGCTTCAACTCTTAACCGGAATGGCTGTTCGGAAAGATCAAATTGCCAGTCAAAGCTAGGTCGGTCACGAAGCAAGTAGAATTCTGGGTGCTTAAGGTCCCATCAACCTACAACTTAATCTTAAGAAGGGGCTGGTTGCACGCCATGCAGGCAATAGCGTTGACTTATCACCAGGTCCTGTACTTTCCAGCGCTAGCCGGATAAGTAGAAGAGGTTTGAAGGGACCAAGTAATAACAAAACAGTGTTTTATCGCAGTAAATGGCAGCCAAGCTGCCAAAGGCTTCGTTCAAATGATAAAACGACCAAAAGGGAAGGAAGTCCTAGAAGACGTGGGAAGAAAAGCTGAGGAGAAATCGGTTGAAGATTCGGTGGAAGTGTGCGTTGATGAGAATGATCCAAATAAGTTCTTTCTTTTAGGATCATCTTTGTCCAGCGCCGAGCGCCTCAATTATGTCAACTTTTTGGTTTCCAACATGGAGGCCTTTGCATGGACGCCTTATGATATGCCTGGTGTCGATCGTAGCTTCATTTTCTACCAGTTGAATGTCTTTCCGAATGCACAACCGGTCATCCAGAGGACGCGGCGCTCGGCCTTGCACCATGCCGAGATAGTGGCAAAGGAAGTCAAGAACTTACTGGAAACAAGGGCAATAGAAGAAGTGCAGTACTCCAGATGGATCTCTAACACAGTGGTAGAGCCGAAGAAGAATGGTAAATGGTGGGTGTGCGTCGATTATAAGATAGTCAACCGTGCGTGCCTAAAGGACAACTTTCTCCTTCATAGAATCGACCAACTGGTGGATCTAACCGTTGGCCATCAGAGATTTAGCCTCCTGGATGCATATCGTGGCTACCACCAAATTGCCATGTACAAACCAGACCGAGAGCTCACTTCGTTCACCACTCCAAGAGGCTTGTACTGCTACAAGGTCATGTCGTTCGGTCTGAAAAATGCTGGGACAACTTTTCAAATAATGGTAACCAAAATGTTCGCCCCCCTTTTTGGCCACACTATGGAGGCTTACATCGATGATATGGTGGTGAAGAGCAAAGACAACTCTTGACACCTTGCCGACCTAGCAAAAATGTTCGCCATATTTAATCATCACAAGCTGTGTTTGAATTCCTCCAAGTGTGCATTCGGAGTTGGAACCGAAAAATTTATAGGTTTTTTGGTCACGAACCGAGGAATCGAAGCCGACCCTTCCCAAATCAAGGCAATACAAGAACTGAAGCGGCCAAACTCCACGAAGGACATGCAACATCTCGCCGAAATGGCAGTCGCGCTCAACCGATTTATCAGCCGGTCTTCAGATCGTTGCAGGCCCTTCTTCAAAACTTTGAGGACCAAGTATTTTGGGATGACGAATGCGACTGTGCGCTACAGGATCTAAAAGTATACCTTTACTCGGCCCCAATCCTGGTCACAGCAAAACCGGGCGAAGAACTATATCTCTACTTAGCAATTTCTCAACACGCGATGAGCGCCGTCCTCGTCCTCGTTGAGGGGATCCAGCACCTCTCCATCTTCTACGTTAGTAAGACAATGCTCCCGTTTGAATCAAGATATCTGCCGCTAGAAAAACTAGGGTAATATGATGTCAAGTTCTAGCCGCGCACTGCTATCAAAGCTCAAGCTCTTGCCGATTTCGTGGATGAATTTTTCCCTGGAACACACCATGTTTTCCCTATCGATCTGGCTAGCACGGACTTGGCGCAACCTATGGCAGGGATAGCAGAAATAAGCGATGGACAACAAGTAACAGTACGATAAGAGAAAATTGAGCGCGAAATAGAAGAACCGAGCAATTCACCGAAATACGAGCGCGACGGAGATACAGAAAGAGACCGGAATGAGCCGACCAGTACCTTGGAGTTGAGGAACTCTCAAAATCCCCCTGACTGCTGGAAGTTGTTCATTGGCAAGATGTGAAAACTCTTCATATATGGGGCTTCTAATAGACATGGCGCAGGGCTAAGGGTCGTGCTGACATCCCCGGATGGGTTGACCATTGAGCATGCGATCACACTTGAGTTCCCCGCTTCTAACAATGAGGCGGAATATGAAACCCTCCTCGCCGGATTGAAGAGCGCTTTGAGAATAAAGGCATTAGAGCTTGTGGTATTCAGCGACTCCAAGCTAGTGGTCAATCAGGTCTCCGGGGAGTATGAGGCCAGGGATGAAAAGATGGCTAAGTATCAAGCATTGGTACGTGCAGAAATTAAAAAGTTTGCCATAATAAGAATGAAACAAATCAACCGCGCGGAAAACAATGCAGCCGACGAACTAGCCAGCCTAGCATCCATGCAAATGACTTTTCCCAATCCTTTGATGATAGAATTCTTACCCCAGCCGAGCATTGAGAAACCAGGGATGCCCGAAATACTCTGCGCCGACTTGGGACCATCCTGGATAGATCCAATCATCACATTCCTGAAGAATGGAATTCTACCCACCCAAAAGAAGGAGGCCAACAAGGTCAGGGCGAAATCAGAGCGGTTTTGGCTCTCTCCATCTGGCACCTTATATAAAAAATCCTTCACTGGACCATGCCTAAAGTGTGTCCACTCCAGCAAGGTTAAACATTTCCTCTTCAAGATTCATGAAAGCATCTGCGGGAGTCATATTGAAGGCAGATCTTTGGCTTACCGAGCAATTTCCCAGGGTTATTGGTGGCCATGCATACAGGCGGACGCGCAGAAATATGTTTGCAGATGTGAAAAATGTCAAAAATTTGCTCACCAAATCCACCAACCGGCTAGAGAGTTGCTCCCCCTTTACAAGTCCTTGGCCATTTGCGCTTTGGGTGCTAGATATTATAGAACTGCTTCCAACAGCTCTGGGCAACCACAAGTTTTTCATCACTACTACCGACTACTTTACTAAGTGGGTAGAGGCCGAACCGTTGGCCACCATTAAGGAAAAAGATGTAAAGAAGTTCATTTGGCAAAATGTTATCACTCGCTTCGGTATCCTAAAGGCCCTCATTTTGGATAATGGAACTCAGTTCGATGGGAAACTCTTTCGCGAATTTTGTGAGGAGTTAAAGATTGAGTTTTACAACTCTACACTGGCCTACCCTCAGTCAAATGGTCAAGCAGAAGCTTCAAACAAAACCATCTTGGACGGGCTAAAGAAGCGACTGAAGAAGGCCAAAGGGAAGTGGGCTGAGGAACTCCCCAATGTGCTTTGGTCTTACTGCACTACACCAAGGTACTTAACTGGGGAAACTCCATTTGCTTTGGCTTACGGCATGAAGGCAGTCATACTATTGGAAATCGACATGCCCACCATCCGATCTAAAAGTTTTCAGTCGAACTTGAACAATGATGCTGTAGCTTTGGAACTTGACCTAGCTGAAGAAAGAAGGGAACAAGCTCTAATCCATATAGCAACTTACCAACAAGAGCTCTCCAGGAAATACAACAAGACCGTGCATCCTAGGCTATTTAAGGTCGGAGATTGGGTCTTGAGGAAGGCAATGGGCAACACAGTGATCCCTAGCGAAGGCAAATTAGGAGCAAATTGGGAGGGGCCATACAAGATAAGTGGCCTTATAGGCAAAAGAGCATACCACCTAGAAGACTTAGATGGTAAAGCTATCCCCTAACCACGAAATGCGGCTAATCTCAAGATATTTTACTGTTGAAATGTAATTTTTTCTATTCCTTTGGACTTTTGGCATTGGGTGTAAATCAGTGACGTGTAATGGAAGATAGCCCCATCTTTTTCTTATACTATGCGTCTCTGTACAAAGATATTACAAGGATATTAAGCTACTATGAGTGCCAGGAGTGAGTATTCAAAAACGACTTGACTTTGGCCGTACAAACAGTTGGTGTTTTGCCCAACTTGTGTTAGGGCCGAGCTGACATTGCTCGCCCGTGCAAACAGTTGGTGTTTTGCCAAACTTGTGTTAAGGCCGAGCTGACATCGCTCGCCCGTGCAAACAGTTAGTGTTTTTCCCAACTTGTGTTAGGGCCAAGCTGACATTGCTTAACCGTGCAAACAGTTGGTGTTTTGCCCAACTTGTGTTAGGGCCGAGCTGACATTGCTCGCCCGTGCAAACAGTTGGTGTTTTGTCCAACTTGTGTTAAGGTCGAGCTGACATCGCTCGCCCGTGCAAACAGTTAGTGTTTTTCCCAACTTGTGTTAGGGCCAAGCTGACATTGCTTAACCGTGCAAACAGTTGGTGTTTTGCCCAACTTGTGTTAGGGCCGAGCTGACATTGCTCGCCCGTGCAAACAGTTGGTGTTTTGTCCATTACCTAGTTCTTAATATAGCCGAGCTGACCTTTCTCGGCCTATCAAACAGTTGGTGTTATGTTCAACTAATATTTTAAACCAAGATGAATTTGCTCAATTAAACCGAGCTGATTTCACTAGTTTAAAAAGAAATCGGCTCGGCCTATTCGAGACCATTACGCTTAGAATGCAACAATAAGATTTTATCTCGGCCAAACCGGAGAAAATGACAATAACAAGGCAAACAAAAATTTGCATACATGGCAAGCAAAAAGTTAACTTTTTATTCATAATAAAGTCTGATTACAAATGTAGGGTGTAGCCCGGCTATAACAAAACCAAAAACCAAAAAAAAAAAAAAAAAGAAAGATCAATCCAGGTCAACGGTGTTCGTTTAGTCGGTCGTCCCTATCTCGGCATCTTCCACTTGAGCGCCGACCACTGCGTCCACCTTCTATTCAGGCTCCTCACGCTCTTGAGCTCCTTCCTCGAACACCTCAGAGCTCCATTCTGCTCTGTTTGTTGCACAGTGAAAGCTTCTGCTGCAGCTGCCAACTTCGCCTTTTCTATCAGCTTCTTCTGCACAGCGCTGTCATAACCTTGCATGTGAACCGGAATGAAGGCAGCAAAGGGATTTTGGAACAGGTCAGAGTCTTGACCAAGGCCAAGTTTTTCCACTGCAGCTTTCCAACCACACTGGGAAAAAATGTCCTTTGTCTCTTGTACCTACCGTTCAAAAACTTTTTCACTCTCTGCATAGCCGCGGTCTTCAACATCGTCGACCTGCTTATCCATCTCGGCCTTGTGGGCTTCGCGGAGTTTGCGTAGCTTGGCGATATATCTTACCTCAATCACTTGCAGTGTGTTTTGCTTATCCTCGTCCGCCTTAGCTAGTCGCTCTGCGAGCTGGTCGCACTCGGCCACCACCTCTTCTTGTGCGGTCTTTAACTTTTCCAGCTCGGCCGTTTTTGTTTTATTGTCCGCAATGGCCTACACAAGCTTTTCCATACAGAAATCATTCGCTCGTGAGCAAGATAATTTTTCTGTGTGGCTTGCAGATGGACATTAGTTAGTACGGGGAACCGATCAATAGCTTGCAAAAAAACAACGCAAACAAAGACTTGACTACTTACCAGGACGATTTACTTTGCCGTCGAGCAGAGAGCTTTCAGATCGGACAGTTCGTCGTGCTTCTTCATGTCTGCAGGAAGTAGTAAGCCCTTGGTCGTGTTAAAGCCGAGCGAATAGTCATTGTCGGCGCATACCGAATCAGTCACTGACACTGCTCGGCTTTTATACGTTAGCTGATCGACCAGATTGGGGGGGCGGTTGATCAGATGGATTGCCCGGCTAGAGATTCAGTCTGGTCTCCCTAACCCGACGACGGTAGCTTGACTGAATCCTCATTGACCAAATTTTGCTCGGTTTGTGCCGACCTCAATCTTTTCTTGGACTGACCAATAGCTTGCTCGCTGGCAAGAGCTAGCACCGGTCTCTTGTATGGCATGTTTGGCACAAATGATTGGCCCCCAACTAGGGCTGAGCAAGGAATCCGTGAAATCCGTAATCCGATCCAGTCCAGTCTAATCCAGTAGGTTTGGATTGATTTTTTGAATCTGTGGTTCAGTTCCGGATTGAAAAATTAAAAATCCGTAATTCACGGATTGGTTCCGGATTGAACCCCACGGTTCCAGATTGGAACCGATCCGAACCGTATACAAATAGTCTATATTTTTATTATACACCCTCTTGCATAGTAACTTCTTTGATTTCATATAAAATTTAAATCCAAACCTAAACTTACATAGTATCTTCTTTTATTACTTTTGTTTGCTAGTTTTTAGTGTTAATTTGTAATGGTCTAAATACTTATGGTGAAACTAGTTTTCTTATGGTTGTTTAAATTCTAGAACAGTTTGTCACTATTATGAAAAGACATGTTGCTATTGTGAAACTAATACGATGCTATATTTATATTTTTATGAAATTAAAGTGTTATATATATTTTTTTGTTATTTAATTATGTAAATCCGTGGTCCTAAACCGATCCAATCCGTGTTTAAATGGATTGGTTCGGATTGGTTCCACGATTTAAACGGATTGGATTGGTTCCAATTTTTCAGGAACCGTAGATAACGGATTGGTCCTGATTTTACCCCAATCCGGTCCAATCCGAACCATGCTCACCCCTAATATTAAAAGTATTTCATAATATTATGATTGGTTGAGAATATGAGTAGTACAGACACATGATACTTTAGGAATATTTAATAATTTCCCGAGAAAGAGGGCATACCCCAAGCAAGACTTTGATATTTTTGCAGTTGAATTCAGACTCATGATGTTCTTGGCTGTAGTCAAGAAGGGAATCCAATAAATCCCCATAACTCGGCAGATTCGACTCTCTGTGCTTGAGCCGCCGAGTGAGGAACCCGTCACAGACATCATCAAGCCACCCATAAGCAACCTTGGCTTTGGTCCTTAATCCCTGTGGATCCAAAGGCTTCAACCATGGAAACACATCTGCAATGTTAAACTTCCCATCAACCACCATGATTGTCTTCACTGCATTCAGGAACCCCTGTGCCTCTCCAGACTCGAACCCAGCCACATTTACAGAGAAACAAGTGTTGGACATCATATTCAGAGCAGTAATGAATGCCAACTCTCCGATCGCCAGGCTTCGATCTCTCGTCTCACTAACATGTTGAATCATCTCTCCCACAGCTTTGTGTCTTAGTCCTCGCAAAGTGTCAAGTTTTTGTTGGTTTGTCAGGCATATGCTCAGCGCGCGGCGAATCAGCCGGCATTGTTCGACCGTGGAGATCCACACCAGGGCCAGGTAGTGGTGCTTTTGCCCGGTGGCAGCGTCGGGGACGATTCTGCCAGAGCAGGCCTCGTCGTTTTTCTGGAGGATTTCTCTGGCTACCTCCGGCGAAGAAGCCACCACGCTAGTTCTACTGCCCATACGTATGGTCATAAGTGGACCATACGTCTTGGCTAGCTTTGCCAGTGATTCGTGGGGCTTTGGACCGACCTCGAAGAGGTTGCCGAAGAGAGGGAGGCCAGTGGGCCCTGGTGGGAGTGTTCTTCTTCTACGAAACAATGCACGACCACGGATGAGTATCAAGAAAACCACAGAGCACACTAGATAACCAAGAAACTCCATTTTTGGGATTTATGTTGTGTTATGTTGAGCTCACTCTGTGTTTCTCTCTAAGTTGTGATCACATTTATATAGGCGTGTACCTACCTCTAGTCTAGATGTAACCACTTGTATTCCTGTTTTCTTGAGAAGTTAGCATATTTCTTTTGACCCACTTGTATTTTTATTTTATTTTTTTAATATATTGACCCTGATTGGTAAGTTGGTTTTAACTTTTTATTTATTTATTTATTAAAATTTACAAAAAAAAATAAAATAGATTAAAATAATTATCAAAATAAAATATTACATCAAATTCATAATCATTTTTTTTTTTCTCTCACAAATATCACATTCAACTATAAAAAAATCTAATCATCTTTCT